TTTATAGGGACCGTAATTATAGGGGGGTCTACTGTATTGTTATTTACAGTATACATTTACAACTACAAAATGCATTTTTCCTTACTATAGTTATTATTATTATTATTTTTTTTTTTTTCAATGTACTATTTAGCATTAATTTGAGTGTGTTTTTTGTGTTGGAACAAATTATTTGGTTTTATATGTAATCGTATGGGAAAAAATGATTCACCTTACGACATTTTCATGATATGATCTCAGTTTTGAAACGAATTAATTTCGTATCATGAGGTACCACTGTATATAGTAGAATGCATTATATGGTTAATATATAAAATTAGACATTTTAATTTATCTGTGTTTTTAAATTTTTAAATTAAGATATTTGTTTTGTATAAAGAATTTTTGAGTAATTCTGTTCTCTAGTTTTTGATATACAGGATGAATAAAAAATTATTGTTCATCTATATTATGAATAACACAATATAACCTTCTTATATTGTGACTTTTTGATCATCCTGTATATACGAGTATAAATTCAATCAATAGTTAATGTTATTCTTAATTCTATTTTTATAATAATAATAATTTTATATAGCTAGAACATATGACCAAAGAAGATTTGATAAAGCAAGTGAAAAGGCAGCTTATTTTGTTGCAAAAAACAAAACATAAATGTGATGGTAAGTATTAATATTAATTATAATAAAAAGATAATTTATCATCATATACAATAAACACTTGCTAATTAAAATTCCATTTAATCCAAACCAGTTTAAAAAAATATGACAAACTTGTAAAATTAATATATACTGCATTCAAAAGCTTTCCAGGCTTCCTCGGTAAATTCTTTGTCTATCTTATATGAGATAACAATGCAATGATTCTGAAATAGGGATCAAAAACTGAATTTTATCTGATATTATAGACTTATTAAACTGCCATGGTTCAATCACTGATAATGAACTTCAGGATTTGCAGTTTTATTTGAAAAGCGACAAGAATCTTATCCAAGAAGAAAGTTAAAATTCACTTTACAATAAATTGCTTGAAATTTATATACTCACTAACATACAAAGAAGTATGTTAGTGAGTATATAATGTAATAAAAACTTGCAACCAGTTAGTAGAATGTTATAAAGATAATGCACAAAACTAAGATAAACAAAGAAAGTCTTTTACTGGATTTTTTCTTACAAGACAATTGTAAAATTAATTAATTGATTTTATGGGTATACATTTACTAAATAGAAAGTTATTTTTATTGAAATAAAAATGTCCATTATAATAAAAAGCAAGAAAAATATTAAAACTTTAAAAACATATAAAAATAAACTTGTTTGACATATGACTTACGTGGTCTGTTCAAAAAGTATCGGACCTTTGGTCGGCAAAAATAAATTTATTGATTTTGAGGTACAAAACCCTAATTCCTTTCAAAGTAGTCTCCTTGGTAGTGTATACACTTCTCCCAGCGTTCCTGCCATTGCTGGAAACACTGCTGGAACGCATCTTTTGTAATGGCCATCAGCCAGTCCGCCGCATTCCGCACGATGTCTTCTCTCAACTAAAATCGGGTTCCTTTTAGCGGCATTTTCAGCTTGGGAAATAGCCAAAAGTCACACGGAGCCATGTGGGGAGAGTACGGAGCGTGACGAACCACAGGAGTGTTGTGTTTGGCGACGAAAGCCCGAATCAGATGCGCAGAATGGGCGGATGCGTTATCACGATGGAGCTGCCAAGTTTTGATCGACCACAGATCCGGTTGTCTGCGTCGCACAGTATCGAAAAGACGACGAAGGACCTCCTGGTAGTACTCCTTTGCGATGGTTCGGCCTCGTGGTGCGTACTCACGATACACCACCCGACGAGAGTCGAAAAAACTGTCAACATGTCCTTGATATTGCTGCGGGACTGCCGCGCTTTTTTTGACCTTGAGGATCGTCCCCGAATGCCTGCTGAATCTTGCGAATGGTTTACACTCGGGTATCGCCAAGGTTTTTGGCAAAATTTGATGTAATATCGCTGCTCACGTNGTCCTTGATATTGCTGCGGGACTGCCGCGCTTTTTTTGACCTTGAGGATCGTCCCCGAATGCCTGCTGAATCTTGCGAATGGTTTACACTCGGGTATCGCCAAGGTTTTTGGCAAAATTTGATGTAATATCGCTGCTCACGTTCAGTCATTTTCCAACTTAGTGGAATCCGACGAGATCTCGCTACATGACCTCACTCATAGGCTGACTGCCAACAACAGACGCTTCCTGCAGATGGGAAAAAATTCAGGGCCGTGCATGACTGGCCCCTCCACAACTCCATCGAAAGAGGCCCCCGCGCATCATTGGTTTACGCGGAAAAAATAAAAGTCCGATACTTTTTGAACAGACCTTGTATATGGTATAATACTGTATATTTTATGAATAATGTTATTGTTGATTAATTTAAGCTATAATTTTAAATTTTATTTTATTTTTTTGAATACAAGTTTCATGTGAGCTATAAAGTAAGTTATAGCTCACATTAGAACTAAGAATGACAATAAATTTTAAAATTGGTTTTATTTTATTAATTTTTTAATAAAAAACTTAGAATATTAAATTTAAAATTAAATAAGATTTATTTAATTTATTTCAGAATTGAATGAACGATGTGTAACATTAGAAAAAGAGAAAAATGAAGCAGTTTCTCTTCATAGTTCTGAAGCAAATTTTAAAGTTAAAATTACAGAATTGGAAAATAAAATAATCAGTATTACAGCAGAAAAAGATGAAGCAATATTACTTCATGCAAATATGCAAACTGCTCAAGAACAACATTTGAATAAATGTCAGGTAAATAATATAGTTTAAATATTGCATTTTATAAGGCAGTTGTGTATAAGATTCATCCATAATTCAGTAAATGTTTAGAGGAAAAAAATAACTTTTTTGAAGAACTGAGACAAGAAATTCTAATGCAATGTCTAGAAAGAATTTTTAATCATTTTAGTAAGCACTCCCAGTATATCAATATCAATGAATATATCAGTTATATAAGTGAAAATTATTAATGAGATTGACATTATTCTTGCATCATAATTTCTATATTCATACTATAACAAAATAATAATAAATTATCTTGTATCATCATTACAGCTTCTTAACTGCCTTTCCTTATCATTTTTTCTATTTTGAGTTAATTTTATTTCTTAATAATTGTAATGGTTACAACATTCTATAAATTCTACATAATCCTTATTATACTACTGTCTAAACCAAGGCTGCCCAAACTCAGGCCCACATGGCCCGCCAACACTATTGAATTTGCCCGCCCACAGTAGTGGTCAGCTGTCGCCATGTGCAATGTCATGCTACCAATAATGCCAACTGCCACGTGATTGGTTGATTGGTCAAACGTGGAATGAACTATGACTTGAGTCACTGCCACACCGCTGTTAATACTTATCCTATGCATTTATTACACTTGTTCTATTAGTTTTGAGTTGACTTTTCTGTATTAAAATTAAATTGTCACCAAATATTGAAAAATTATTAGCTAATAAGCCCTTCTTAGCTCTCATTGATGTATTTTTTATTAGGTATTATTAAAACATGTGCACCTTAAAGCCTTGTTTGATTCAAATACCTTCATCATCATCATCATCATCAAATAATCTTTATTACTTAGACTGATACTGCTTGGCGTAATCAGGCAAGAAATTACAGAAACGATTACATTGATGTTACATGCAGATGACAATTGCAAAATAATCCAAAAACAAATGTTGGGAAAGAAGTAAAGAGAAAAGAAAATAATAAATAAAAAATAAAAAAAAACAAACAAGCAAAAAAATGAAAATAATAAAGTAAGTAGATGCCATTAACAGTAAGTGAGCTAAAGTAGATAAATATGCATATATACATTGACACAGCTGCATTACCTTACACATTTAAGTGTTATCACAGTTCATGCTAGGGTAAAAAATGAAGATGAATATAAACATGCCGCATAATAGATGTTAAAACACCACAGGTTAACATATACCATTACAAGTGAAGGAACACATAATAACTTCATTGAATACGTTGGATAGTCTTTAGCCTTCGCAGAATATCTTGAGCCACAGATAAACAATGATGCATATCAAGATGCCACTTGTAGTTTAATGAATATCACTTCTAATCAGATAAATTTTGATAAGTTCTTTGAAGAGGCCAAAATTGACTTTATTATGTCCATACTGTTTAGATTTACTTGCTGCCTCCAGCGGTGCCTAATATCCTCAAGCATGGGGCAGTTGAAAAGATAGTGTAAGACACCATCTTGAATACCACAGAGATTACAGTGATCATTATCTATGAGATAGAATCTTTTAAGATATACACAAAAGTGTTCGTGTTCAGTTAAGAATTGCATCAGTTCATGACTGGGCTGCATCCATTTGTTCTGCATACGGTTTTGAATTCTTGGGAAAAATCTCTTTGTAATGTGCTGACATGAGACCTTGTCCCAATCAGCCTGCCATGCTTTGATGGCTTCATTCCAAACGAGTGACTTGAGTTTCAACTTGGGGATACGTTCATAATCATGATGATTGATATGATTCAGTGTTGCATTACATGCCAGGTAATCTGCTCTTTCATTTCCCGGAGTGCCCTGGTGACCTCTGATCCAATTAATGGCATATTGTTAGATGATATTGCAACCTCAGCGAAAGTATCGATAGAGATGGGGTTTGTGGTGTCCTTGTTTCTCAGTTTGGTCACAGTGGCAGCACTGTCGGTGTAGATATTTACTGGTATATTGACAAGATTGATGTTAAACCATTTGATAACCATTAATACCGCAAAGATTTCGGCTTGAAAGACACTCCAGGTGCAGCTCAAATGTCTGATTATGGATCTCATCAAAAATCAGAAGGCACTAGCCATGCCTTTAGCAGTTTTAGAGCCGTTCATGAAACCTTCAATCCTCGTGGGTACTTCACATGAAAGAAGTCCCGTTCTCCAGGCAGGATGTGGGAGGGTGGCCATGAGCCTTTCAATCTCATATATGGAGGCATCAAACATTAGTGTCATTTATGCAGACATCTCTGCCCTGGAGATCAGAAAATGCTTGCTGCTGAAAAGAAGATAGTGTAATATGGGAAGTTTTCCAGCCACTACTGGGAGAGCTGCATTAGAGACAGTCAGAGCTTTGAGTCAGATGGATAAGGGCCCATCACTGCGCTGTGCAGAGAAGACGCATAAGAAATGATTGGCAGAAATAAGCAATAGTAAATTGCATTCATGGCTTCAAAGCTGAGGCCCCAGCTGTTTCTGGCAACCTTTAACAGACCATTAAATATATTGCTGTGACTTGTAACTTACTTTATGTGGTATTTCCATGAGAGTTTGTAATCAATAATTACACCCAGGAAGGTGAGATGATTGACAATTTTAATGGATTTATTGTGATAACGCACACATGGAACACGTTTGTACAAGTCAGTTGCACGTGAGAGTGAGAAGGCAATACCTTTGGTTTTAGCCATTTTAAAAAAGTTTGTTGCTATCATCCCAGCAATGTATCTTCAAGAAAATATCTGTTGTGGCACTCTCGATCTGATTCCTGGATGATGCTGGGAAGACCAAAAAGGCATCATCTGCATAAGCGAAGACACGACTGTGATCACCAAGATTAGTCTGGAAAAAACTGTCATAGAGAATGTCCCAAAACAGGGGACCACACACGGACCCCTGTGGGCAACCTCGCTGAAGTTTACAAGTGCACTTCAAGTGACCAAATGTGAATACGGTCTCCCTGTCTTCAAAATAATTGGCTGCCAGATAGTAGAGATTTGTAGGGCACTGATTGTCACTAAGTCTTTGTAGGATTTGAGGACACCAGGCTGAATTGAAGGCATTTTTTAAGTATAGACTTAAAAAGTATGTTTTTGGCTTAAGTCTAGACTTAAGCCAAAAACACTTATTATCATGAAGAAGAACTTTAACATGTTCCACCAAATCCAGTACAGCATCTATAGCACCTCTTTGGCACCAAAAGCCATACTGTGCCTCATGGATTAAGCCATTAGATTCCCAGAACCAATATATGCGGTTGAATAGGAGCCTGTCAAGAATTTTCCCCAGTACAGATAGTAGAGAGATATTGCGCATATTTTGGGTATTAAAGAGCTTACTGTGATTTTTGGGAATTATGACAAAGAGAGCACTCTTCCACTGCTTTGGAAAGATGCCAAATTTCAAGCAAGAATTCAGGACATCCAATAGCAGCATTGGACAAGTCCCCCAGATTTGAAGGATGATTTCCTTATTTATTCCATCCATCCCAGTTGCTTTCTTTTTTGGAAGGCGGTGAATAACATCATTCACCTCAGAGAAGGTAAATGGGGGATCATCTTCTGAAAGTAGACAATCCTACTTTCGGAACCATTCCTACGATTCCTTATTGCGTTTTGCTCAGGGGTGTCCTCAGATGGTGAGTCTGTGGAGCAGAAGTAATCTAGGAGACTGGATATGGTGGTCTCCAAATTAGCGAGATTGTCAGGATCATTACAAAGAACATTACGATACTTAATTTTATTTGCACAAAGTTTATAAATAAATCCCCATGGATTCCCTTCAGCTCCAGAGCAAAAGTTTCTCCATGATTCCAGTTTAGCCTTTTTGATAGCTTCTTTATAGGCACTTTGATGGGTGAGATAACACATCCTCAATTCACCTCTTCACTGGTTATGGTAATGTTGATAGATCCTGTGAAGTCTGTTGTTAGTTTGACGCATCTGAGCAAGATTAGGGTTCCACCATGGTGTGGCTCGCCCTTTGTTCCTCTTTTTTGGGATAGCTTCATCACAGGCTGCAGAGATATTGTAAATGGTAGTTTCAATGTAAGTCTTAGCCTGTATATATGAGTCATTTCTGTGTAAAGGCATGCCAATCTGATTAATCATTTTGTAGAATTTGTCCCAGTCTGCAGATTTAGTATTAAAACACTTCTTAGTATGTGAAGCGTCTCCACTGTGCTGATTGCAGTGGCTTATACTGTAGATCAAGCATTCATGCTCCGTAAAAAAGTCAAAGGTACCCACCTTCCAACCTTATATTATGGAACAAAGGCCATCCGAACAAATTGTCAAATCAATCCAAGAATCCCCATTCACGGTTGAGAAGGCAGGTGAGGAATCCGGATTATTAATGACAAGAAGATTATGAGCGGCAATAAAGTCATCAAGTGCAATACCTCTGTCATCTTCACTATAGCCTCCCCACGTAGATGAATGGGCATTGAAATCGCCAGTAATTAAAAAGCTGTTGCCCTGAAAATGAACCATGGCAGTGTCTAAATTCCAGAGAGTCTAAAATGTCACTTCTTCTAGAGCAATATACATTGAAAATGACAATCCTTCGGTTGGGGAAACAGACCTCAATACAGACACAGGTGGTTGTGCAGAATTTCGGATGTTTGATGATTGCTAAGTCTGGATTGACAATGATGTCTGCGGCCCATAGTTGCCCATCTTGACTTTGAATGATGATGTATCTGGTACTGAAGCATGCAACCCTATTGTTGCGGCAATAGGGCTCCTGTATTAATGCAATGTCAAAATTGAGCAATTCATTACGAAGTTGGGAACTGGCCAAGATAGACCATCCCAAGTTTACCTGTACAATATGAATTTTGAATTTCTGTAGACTGGTGTTGTTAGCACTATTAAATTCCATACTCTATCCTAGACAAAAGTTGAGCCCTAGCACGTAAGAAAGTAGGACATGTCTTATCAAAAGGATTATGATTCACTGCTCTGTTTTTATCCTTGTCACAATTCACACAATTTGGAACCTCCTTCTTC